GTTTTAAACCATGATTCATTCTAGCACCAAAAAAAATTTGAAACTGCAAAATTTTACAGCTTTAAACCATGATTCATTCTAGCACCAAATTTTTTTTTACAGTTTTCACCGCCTGTAACTAAAACTCGAAAACTCCTTGTTTAGAATTTGAAAATTTTCTCCATTAGAACAGAAAAACAGAAGTGTATAGCAGAGAAAATAAAAAAAAAAAAAAAAGAGATCGAAGGATACTCAGATCTGATGTAGATCTACATCAGATTTGAATAGATCCACTCATCTTCTTCGTCGAAAATATATCATCTTCGCCGTCGGTAAGGGTGAAGTCACGAGTTGATTTCGATGGTTGATGGCTTTCGGTGGACCCCGATCAATAGAGAAAGACGTGATCACCGGTAGTCGTCCATGACAAAGAAGATGAGAGAAAAATGCAAAAAAAAAAAAGAGAGAGGAAAACGCAAAGAGTCAGGCAAAAAGTAGAGAGAGAGAGAGAGAGAGAGAGAGAGAGAGAGAGAAGAGAGTAGGACTTTTGGCTCTACTCAAAAAGTTGTTGGATTAAATAGTGTCCACATGTTTTACATAGGACCTGTGGGTAATTTCCCCTATATTTTTTTTGAAGCCCTATTTTCAGCCTTTTTTGGGACGCCCAAACCGTCTGCTTTGTGAGTTTGCCCCCAGAACCGGGCTTGGTTGCTGGCTAACCATCCCCATTAGCATGCACTATTTGACACAATAGCACTTCTTATGTTCTTTGTTTTAAATAAAATGTTCATTAAATGATATTTAATTATACAAATATTATCGTCACATTTCTCTAGTGATAATTTCACTATAAATACCATTTTCCTTAAAGGAGCGTTGCAAAATCAATTGAAAATAGAAAAATTAATTACATAACCCTTGTGTCCTACAAAGCTTCTCAAAGGGGTGACCTCTCACCATAAGGAAAATTAGGATTGTGTTCATTCTCCTCCATCTTTCTCCAAAACATCCATTTTGAGGGCTTATGACAACAGTCATAAAAGGAGATTGGCTAAGAATCCCTTTCATGGTAGATCATCAAAGTCTCGCTATCAATCTAAGTTGGTAGACATCAAAATTCAAAAGCTGGCAGAAGGTAATGTCTGCCCAAATCCCTTTCTTGTTACTGTTATTCCCATTTCTTTGGGGTTGGATGGTCAGTTGTCCCTATCAACCATGTCGGTTTCTGAATCATGCTTGTCTGAGGTGGCGGTGGTGGCTGACCCTACTTAGCCACCAAAGCCATGTTCATTCTAAGCTGGAATTGTCAAGGGATGATGGAGTGACTCCTGACATTCCAGATCCTCCAAGGGTTATGTAGAACCCATCGCCCCATAATAATCTTCTTAATGGAGACAAAAAATAAGCAGTCTAAGCTTGAATCTTTCAGACGCCGTTTGTCTTTTTTGAATCTGTGCTATCTAGATCCAGTGGGTCTTTTGGGTGGTCTTGCCTTATGGTGGACAAATGAGATAAATTTGCAAGTTAGATGCAAGTCACAAAATCTATTTCAGTGCATTATTTCTAATAGTTTTCAACCAACTGATTGGCTTGCTACTTTTGTTTATGCACCTCCGAGATGGGTGGATAAAAAATTGTTATGGACTTTTTTACAGAAAATTGCACAGGGAAATCATTACTCATGGCTATGCATTGGGGATTTCAATGAGGTGGAAATGTAATAGGAAAAACAAGGTTCGATTCCCTGTAATCCAGCTCGAATGGCTCAGTTTCAACATCTTTTGTCGAAGTGCGAATTCTTGGACCTGGAATTTAAAGGTAGCCCCTACACTTGGACCAACAATCAATGAGGCCCACAACATCTTTGGGAGAGATTGGATAAGGCTTTGGCAACCATCAATTGGAGGTAGCTCTTTCTTTATGCTCAGCTGCATCATGAAGCCTTCTTCGGTTTTGACCACTACCCCCTCCTTCTGCATTGTCATGTCCCACCTAAGAGGGTACCCCACCAGTTTAAGTTCGAATCAATGTGGACTACTAGCCCTATGTGTGCTGAAATAATACGTAAACATTGGAGCCAACCCTTTGCGGGTTCTCCCATGCTTTAGCTCTCTCAGAAGTTAAAAAAATGCAAACACGAGTTGTCTAAGTAGAGCAAGATTGAATTTGGTGATAACAGGAGAAGAATAACTCAACTGAAAGCCGTCAATGTTACTTTTTAGCAACTTACTTACTTTGAGGCCACTGACACTCAGCTGAGGAGCATTAAGGAGGAGTTTGAGATGGTCCTTCTTCGTGAGGAGATGTATCAACACCAGCGCTCTCGGATTAATTAGCTTAATTGTGGCAATAAAAATACCTCATTTTTCCATGCTACAGAGGCGTCAAAAAAATCGATTCGTTACGATTAAAGGGGATGATGGCATGTGGTTAGATTTGAATTTAGCCATAAACAACCATCTTGCATCTTTTTTCACCTCCCTTTTCAAAGCACGAGACCCGAGGGATTTTGAAGAAGCTTTATCTGTGGTTCCCCTTTCAGTTACAACTCGGATGAATGAGGATCTCCTCTAGCCTCTAGTGGATGGGGAAATTAAAAAAGCTACCTTTTAGCTTAGATCTCTAAAGGCCCCTAGGCCAGATGGTTTTCTTGAACTCTTTTATCATAAACATTCAAATGTCGCAGGCACCTCGCCCGAGGTGTGTAGGGCCGTGAAGTGCTTTTTTAACAGTGGGGTTTTGCTTAAAGACTTGAACCACACCAATCTTATTCTTATCCCTAAAGTACCAGCCCCTGAGAAGCTCAGTCAATATCGTCCCATCAACCTGTGCAATTTTTTATAAGGATTATCAGTAAGGTACTGGCCAACAGATTAAAAGGGTGTCTTAAGAAGCTCAGTTCTCCTCAACAAGCTGTCTTTGTGTTTGGCCGGCTCATTCAAGACAGTATCCTTGTTGCTCACGAGGCCTTTCACTTCCTTAAGCATAAGAAACAAAGACGCAAAGGTTATGTTGCGTTGAAACTTGATTTCAATAAAGCTTATGATCAAATTCAGCGGGACTTCTTGCAAGCTCTCTTGCTAAAAATGGGCTTTCATGCTAGGTGGGTGCATTTGATCATTGAATGTGTATCGATGGTAAGCTTTTCAGTGTTTGCAAATGGAGAGTGACGAATATCTTTTATCTTAGCTTGTGGACTCCGGCAAGGTGACCCCCATTCGCCATACCTCTTCCTCATTGTAGCTAATGTTCTCTCTCAACTCATCACCCATAGTATTTCCAACAATTCCATATCTGGATTGAAGATGAAACGGACTTGTCCTCAGTTGTCACATCTATTTTTTTGCAAATGATGCAATTTTATTTTTCACAGCAGAAAGGTCGGATTGCCAAGGTATTTTGAGGCTTCTTCAAGTGTACAGTGCGACATCTGGCCAAATTCTTAATTTTGACAAATCCGGCGCTTTGTTCTCGGCCAACATTCCTCCTTGTCACTGCGAGGCTGTCTGTAACATTCTGGGTGTATCTCAAGCAGATCCTAAGGCCAAATACCTTGGTCTCCCTACGTCCTGGGGTAAATCCAAAGGTGAAGCTTATAATTTCCTAATTAAGAGGGCCTTAACTAAAATGCAAGGGTGGAAATCTAAGTTACTGTCTCAAACTGGTAAAGAAATTCTCATTATGGCTGTTGTCCAATCCATTCTGTCATATGCGATGTCTTGATTTGAACTTCCTCAAGCTTTTTGTGACAATCTCAATTCCATGATCAAGAACTTCTGGTGGAAAAGCGATCCAGAAAGTCGAGGCATAAACTGGGCTAATTGGTATACTATGACATCTCCAAAATTTAGTGGGGGATTGGGTTTTAGAGATCTTAATCAAGCTTTGCTAGCCACACAAGGATGGAGACTTTTAGCCAATCCTAATTCTTACTGGGCTAGGATGTTTAAAGGTCTCTACTTTCCTCATTCCTCGTTCTTGAAGGCGAAGAAGGGCTCGAATGCGCTAGGATGTTTAAAGGTCTCTACTTTCCTCATTCCTCGTTCTTGAAGGCGACCAAGGGCTCGAATGCTTCTTGGGCATGAACTAGTTTACTTAAAGATAGAGACATTCTCCAAGCAGGTTTAAGGTGGCAAGTTCAGTCTGGGCACCAGATTCAGTTTTGGGAAGATCACTGGATTCTATCTCTCAAAGGTTTTCAACTCACAACCTCCAAGCCCATTGATAGTCTTGTTTGTTTGGTGGGTGACATCATTGATCCTACCCTACGGAAGTGGAAGTTGGGCTCTCTTCAGCAAATCCTAACAATGAGAGAAATTGACGCTATTTTGAAGATACCTGTTGGAGTAGAATAACGTGATGACCTTTTAGTTTGGTATCATAACAAATCAGGCCTTTACTTTGTTAAATCCGGTTATGTGGTTACTAGATCCATTCATGGGAAAGAATATGAGGTCAGGGCGTCATCTTCTACTACACCAGATGAGAATATGTGGAAGTCTATATGGAATCTTAACATCCCTCCAAAACTCAGGCATTTTCGGTAGAGAGTGTGTCATTATCTCCTTGCAACCAAGGTGGGTCTTCACAAGAGGAAATGCGAGTCTTCACCCATTTGTCCTGTTTGTCTTTTAGATACCGAAACAGTGGAGCACCTCCTATTTGACTGTCCATGGACACAACCAGTTTGGTTTGGCAGTGCTTTAAATCTCCGAATTAATAGAGGTTCCATCCCAAATGTCACCAAATGGACAAGTGACCAGTTTCTCCTATATAACTCTAAGATTGAGGCTCGAAATTTCATGAAGTTTGTGGTTGTTGTTGGTTGGTTTATTTGGAAGTCCAGGAACGACTTAGTTTTCAACCACAGCCCCGTTGACCCTGATGCTACTCTTCACCAAATTTCTCAGTTCTGGCTGGATCACGATAATTTTCGCTTAACCTCTGTAGTGTTGGATCAGTCTCCAGTCACTCATGAGTTGGCGACAATCGAGGGTTAGTCTCCAGCTCCCTACGACCTTATGAAAATCAATTGTGATGCTGCTTACTGCCCAAGGTCCTCTAAAGCTGCTATTGCTACTGTTCTTCAGAATTTTTTGGGCCAATTTATTGACGGCATTGCCAAGACCACTGTGGCATCGTTAGCCTCCCAGGCTGAGGCCCATGCAGTCCGTATGGCCTGCCTTTTTGCTTAAACCCATAGTCTCCTGCATGTGATCATTGAGAGCGATAATCGACAAGTTATTCAGCTTAGTGCTTCTGAAAATGTCCCTCCGTGCACTACAGGAAAAATAAGTTTTAATGGCATTTTTAAACGCCACTTTTCTTAATTTTTAATGGCGTTTTATAACTGCCACATATTTGTTAACCAAAACGGCACCATTTTATAATTGAAAACGCCTCCAAATGCGGTAGTCACACACGCGTCATCCGTCCTTTCTTATTTTGAATCTCAGCCCTTTCTCTCTCTCAACCCTTATACACACACATCTCTCTCTCTCTCTCTCTCTCAACCCTTTCTAAGCTCCATCGAAGCTCCATTTGCACCGGTGATTTCAAAGCTCCATCACCAGCACGATCTGCACCGGCGAGGTAGCGAGCTCCACCGTCTCTCTCTCTCTCTCTCTCTCTCTCTCTCTCTTTAGTGAGAGATTCAGAGATTCAGAGCTCCACCGTTTTATTCTGACTTGATCCTTGTTTGCAGAGATTCAGAGGTTCAGTGATTTCAGAGCGATTTCTATTTCGAAGCTCCATCGCCACCACCATCTGCACCGACGATTTCGATTTCACTAAGGTGAGCTCCACCATCTCTCTCTCTCTCTCTCTCTCTCTACCTACACTTTCTATCGCTAAAACTCTCTTTTCTCATCTTCCAGAAGCTCAGATCTGAACTCTGACCCCTCGATTACTCGCATTTCAACCTCCAATGGCGGTAGCACAATTGCTAGGCCTATATGTTCAATCTGCTACGAAGATCTCAATCCAATCATCGAAGGCATTCAATCAATCTCCATTTGCGGCCATGTCTTCTATGAGCTCTGGTCAGTCACTTCTATACTCACATATTATAGTTATATCTTCACAATTGTTCACTTCAATCGATTATTATTCGAGAACGATCTTCAATTTGATGTGTTTTTTTGACAAACCTAGCCTTCAACAATGTATCGAGTACTGTTCAAATGCGAAGAAGAAACGATGTCCTCTATGCAAGCAGGCCTTTTCGGAGGCCAATATTAGTCGGCTTTATTTCCAATCAGTAGGCAATCTCTATCAGAAATTGATCAATTGAGAAGATAATCCAAGGGAGTTGCATAGGGAAATTGATCATTCGCAACAAGTAAGTTTCTCTATCATTTCCCCTTTTTTTTTTAAGGGGGGGTGTAGACGCCCCCGAACGTCCCGGGAGGGAAATCTCGTTCTGTTCATATGGGCTCATTACAGTTCGGACTCTCAAATTGTCACGGTTCTAAATCTGAACCAAAGAGTCCAAATCCGGCAAATCGTTTTGGAAAATAGATTTTCGTAAAGAAGTGCCAAACATGGACTGCTTTTCCAGATACAGAGTCGCCACCTAAATATTTTATTTTGGGGAAATTTAGGAAACCCTGACTCGTTTTCCTAAGGCCACGTGTCCATCATCACCAAAGTTGCCTCGGCTCGGGAACTTGGGTACGATTGGGGAAGGTCAGCTATGAGCACCCCCTCTCGCCCGATCTGAAGATCGGCCTCTACTAACCATGATATCTAGTTTTGAAAACGTTATGCGTTCTTATACCGGTTATTAGCTTAGATTTACTATGTGATGCGCACAGCATGACAAATATAGACTGAGTCGCCTGAATTGGGACAAAGCATCGCATATCCATTTGTTCGGAAATCGGTTTGAAATTTGTTGCTCGCAAGTAGGCTAAAACATGGATTTCGATGAGTTATTCCAACTCAAACAATCCAACCTTCACCCACAGGCATTCAGGCAGTTTATATCACATAAGCATATAGCCACATGGTAAGCATGCTGTCATGTTTAACATTCACACTCATGCGAGATGCTAAAGCATAAAACACTTACAGTGTACTCCAAGCCAAAACAATGAACATGTGTAGTAATCAAATGTATGATCCAAGTCCATGTTAAATGGCTAATGCATCGCATGCAAGATGCAATCTAGAATAGGCTTGGCTAATCTAAGAGTGGCATGTGGAATGCAACAAGTAACACGTATTCAAGTTAGATTTGAAATACTATGCAGTTAGTATGATGCGCCGAGCCCGGTGCATGCAATACAAATGAATGGAGGCACGCATGCATAGCATAAAGATGCTAAATTAAACATGCCCTAATACTAACCATCAAAGTAGGTAAGTAAAAAGAGAGAAAGAAGTGGGGGTTGGAAGACATGCACACACGCACCCATACTTATTACAAATTTGCCCTCGCTCGGAGGGACCAAAAGAATAATACACTTTAATTAACCTACAAGCTAATTAAATAATTTACAGACCATCTAATTAATTAACAAACCAATTAGGCTAAGGAAAGCATTAAAAGGCCTCGGGAAGAGGGATGCACACGTGCCCGGATTGGCTTTGCCCGGAAATCCAATGCCATGCGCAAGTTGCCTCTATTTTCCCTACTCTGCTCCTCTAAAAATGTCACAATTCCCAAGGTACACCTCATGAACACTGGGGAATGACACCGGCCATGAGGAATGGTCACCGGCCAAAGGGAAGTGGTCATCGACCATCTATGGAGCTATCGGCCATCCATAATTGGTCGATTGGCACTTAATGTAGTCGACCGGCCAAAGCTTCCTGCAGAACCTATTTTGACAGCAGCAAAGGGCAAAACAAGGCATGGCAATGAATTTCAAGCAAATGTGTGCACCAATACACCCCTTATCATGTTTATGACTCAAAGGGGTATGGTACTCGATTCTCGGACCACCTATCGCGCATTTCAATGCGTGATGGCCCAAGAAACCAAGTGTGCATTTTGATTTCAAATGACATGCAAACCAAATAAACACATAAAGCTCAACCTCTATCATACTCAATTCAAGAGGCAAAGCATGCAGGATCAATGCAATGCAACCTAAGCATGCTAGCTAAATGTGCAATAAGGGCATGCAAGCAAACAATGTATGCTAGGTACACAACCTATGCAAATAAGCATGCAAGGCATGGACCACTATGCTAATGACCAATCATGCAAGATGTAATCTAAACAAGCAAGCATGTAAGGCATGCAACATGTTAAGCAACTTAATCAAGGGAGATTGCATGCCAAATGCAACATGATTCAAGCATGCAACACACGTGATAGTCCAAGTATGCAACAACACACAAGGTGAGCACGCAACAACATGCAAACAATGGACTTATACCAATTTGGGAAGCTCTCAAACAAACCCAAAACAGTGGCCAAATGCTAAGGAAATGAGGTGCAAATATACATACAAACATGCATGCAAATGGACCAACACTTACGCATCAAAGAAGCAACCTTTAAGCACACTTAAAAGGGGATAATCATGGACAAATGGCATGCATAATAAGCTCTGAAATCATGTTATAAGAGGTGCCAAACCAAGTAAACAAGACAAGCCAAGCATGCAACAATGCCCAAAACTCAAGACAAGCCAAGGGGCTTAAACCAAAGCTATATGAAGCAAGCCCCAAAGGGCCATGAGGGCCTAAAACAGGTCCAATGCAGGTCTAAACAAGACCAAAGATGCATCTAGATGGCATCTAAATGGTCTAAACATGGAAGCATGCACAAAGGTCCAAACATGGAGCATAAGACACAAGCCTTTCAAAGCATTAAAGAGGCATCGAATGCAAGCATACAAGCATACCATGAAGACTGAAATGACATGGTAAGTGGTTCCAAACCACTAAAACAAAGCAAGTAAAGCATGCTAGAGGGGTCAACACTCAAGGCTCAAAAGGGGGATTACATGGTAGCTATACAAAGAAAAGCATGGATGACCCGAGCAACCAAAAACAGACCTTAGGCATACTAAAACATACATAAAAGCCTCACAAAGCTAAGCCAAAACAAGTAAGCATAGTGGTCTAAATGTTAGGTACATATTAAGGCAATTCATAGCATTACAAGACAAGTATGCAAGGCAAGCATGGTGTGTCTAAACCAATTAAAAAAAGTGCTAAATCATGGCAAAATAAGCACAAATAACACTTAAGACATGGCCAACATGCACTTAAACAAGATGCTCACGCATGAGGCTAAAATGGCCATTTTTGAAGGCAACAAGGAGAGGGGATGGCCCTCTCCTTCTTAGGACCTTAAAGCACCATCCCCACCACTAAAATCTTGAGGGATTTCAGTGGTGAGGAGGCCCAAACAAGATGGTCCTGGAGCTCACCAAAATAGCACAAAATGGGGGCCAAACAAGGCCTAAGAGGGGTCAAACAACCCCAAAGCTCAAAGCAACCTTAAACAACTATTTTAAGAAAGTAAAAACAAGACTTTTATATGTTATACACTAAGCTCAAAAACAGATGCAAGATAGGCAAAAAGACTATGCAAAAATGGGATATTTAAAGGTAAAGTTCTTACCCTTGTAGACCCCTTCAAGAATAGCACTCCAGCTGCTTTCCTTAGCTCAAAACCAGCTCAAAACTTCAAGAACAACCTAATGGCTCCTCAACAACCAAGGTAAGGTGTAAAACTAGGTGTTTGTGCACAAAAGTAAGGACAAACACACACTTATACACAAAGAGAGGTAGATATAGAGATAGAATAGATACACTACGGCTAACCCTAATCCAGACCTCTGGAACTCAACCCTCTAACCTTTGAGGAGGGAGGAGAATCCCTCCTCTTATACAGGATCACTCTTGCAAAGCTTACAAGACAAGCTAAGCAAGAGTGAAATCCCTCCATACACGTGTATGGAGGGGGTGCAAAGTGTATGCCAGCTTGCACAGCTGGCATAAAAATATCTGCAAAAGCAGATGCATAGTGATCGGCCAGCTAAAAATGACAAATTGGCAAAAACAATGGTCGGCTGACCATCAATAGTGCCGACCGGCCAAATATATGGCCAATGGCAACAAAATAATGGCCGGTGGCCTCAAGCCATGGCCGGTGAGGTGTGGGGGTGGCCAACAAGCCATTCCCTATCCTCCAAAGCAAAAACACAAGTGTTTGGTGCAAAACCAAGCATAAAATAGTTTAGTCGAGCAATCCTAAAGCAAGGCGCGTGGTCGAGACCTCCGAGAACTCAAGACGAACACGAACATGGATGATCATTGAGTGTTCAAACGGTGACGCCCAAGTCTTGAGGACGGTCAAAAATGGGGTGTCTACAGGGTAGAGGTAATTTCTTTTTTCTAATAAATTATAAATATATTAATTTCAAACTCTGGACGGAGGCAACGAACAATCTGGTTTGGGTTTCTGTTTAGGCTTGATTGGTTTAAGGACAAAGTTGAAACAGTATAAATGCTGAATTTGTTTCAACACCATGTCAAATCTGTGCACATGTTTTGAAAATATCCTTCTGTGTTATCCCTTTAATCACATTGCAGTTTGGTACTGTTATGCCATATTAGAAAGAAATTATGAGCAGGAACATTTACTATTCAATTCAGGCAACTTAGTATACATTTCCAATACTTCAAAATAACGGATAAATGAATCATTCGCCCTCAACAGGAGCATAGAAATAAGGTTAATTGGTATAACATTGAGAAATACTTACTGAAAATGCAATTCTAAAAGTCATGATTAGCCAGCTGTGTAGAGTTCAAACATACAGGCAACACAGTTAGCTGACTACAAACAAATTTGTTTGCAACAGGATTCTTCTCCCCCTCTCTCTCTCTCTCTCCCTCTCTCTTTCTCACTCTCTCTCATAGAAAAGGAAAAAAGAACACTTTTGGCATAATTGTGATTTATGTGGCATGTTGGAACAACTATCAACTTCTGTTTTGTCATTTTACAAGTTTTATTTCTTTTGCTTTAGTTGTCAGTTGGCACATAATTCATGGCTTCTTTCCACAGGAGTTACAAAGAATTGACAGCCAAATGCAATATTCTAGGAAGAGGAGAAGCTCGTGCTCTTCGCAAACTCGGGAAGGCAAAAGAGAAGATAAAGAAACTGAAGGTAAATTCATCACGACCGAATAAGTGAATCGACCATGGTTAATTTGATTCAGGATATTCTAACGTGTGACCATTATCAAGTAAGGATCCAAGAACTGAAGACAGCTGTTGAAGTAAAAGATAATGAAGTTTCGAGGGCTTTAAAAGCTTCCAAGAAAACTATTCTTGAAGGGGATGTACTGAATGATGTTGATTGGAATTCTAACTCTTCATCCATTAGTGAGGATTTAGCTGTTGAGAAAAACTGTTTTTCAAGGTCAGAGGCAGCTTTAGATACAAGAAGTGAAGTGCATAGACCATGTAACAAGAATGGGGTTTCAGGTTCAAAAAGTGCATTTTGGACAAATGAAGATTGGGAGGTAAATCCCTACCCATACTCTTGGGTATATACATGAATATATACTCCTATGTTCACATAATGTTATGCATATATAGATATGGAATTTGGAAATGTATGGTAGTTGTGTTGAATGTGAAACTATGTTTCCAAAATGAAGGTAGGTATGATGATGGCTACTTTCCTGAACCTTGTATTCATCTTGTGAAGCATGTTTTCGGGCTAATTTGGCCTGCATTTGCTTTCCTTTCATCATTAATACCTTAATGATTTCATGGTTTTGGCAATGCAAATTATTGTGTTAACTTGATAGACAATGTCACTCCAAAATCACAATTAAAAGTATAATGATTTCAGAGGTTGCAACAATTAGAACAAGAGATCAATCATGTTGCTTGCTTATTAACTTTCACATAATTCATCAATTTGGTTAATACTACTAACCTTTGACTCAAATATATTCTTCATATTGGTTGCTGGTGAGGTGAATCTTGCGGAGACACCTGTTTCCAAGGTTATGACTAGAAATCCAGCTTTTGTATTGTCCGACACTCTTGCTGTAGAAGCCTTGCAAAAGACGGTGCTAGGTTAGTATTGATCAGAAAGAACACAACATATTATTTTTCCAGTGTTCTTTCCTAAATTTTTCACATTGAATATGGTCGTGATATTACCACAGGAAAATTCAGACATTTGCCTATTGTGGAGAGTGGAGAGGTCATTGCTTTGCTTGATATAGCAAAGTGTTTATACGATGCTATTGCCCGCATGGAAAGAGCAGCTGAAAAAGGAAAGGCCATTGCAGCTGCTGTTGAAGGTGTTGAAAAACAATGGGGGGCATCTATTGCTGGTTTGTGGAGTGTATATTAAAAAAAATTCTCCAGCATACCTTCTTGTCTATTGCAGTTGAATGATGTTGGTTTACTTGGTCTCTTTCAGAGACATGAATCTTTCATTTATTTATTTATTTTTCGCTTGATAAACAGGTCCTAACACATTCATTGAAACACTTCGAGATCGAATGTTTAGGCCCTTTTTGTCTACAATCATTCCTGAGAATTCAAAGTAGGTAATATCTTCTCTGTTTTTTAGTTCCTTACATTGATTTTATTTTGTATATTATGTGGCTATTTTTGATAAAATAAATTTCCCAACATAATAGAAGTTGGATTACCAATTGTGGCATTGTCAGGATTGCAACTGTCTCGCCAACTGACACAGTGTTAATGGCAACAAAGAAGATGGTTGAGTATGGTATGAGCTCTGTTGTTGTAGCAGTTGAAAACAAAACACGAGGAATTTTAACGTGAGCATGTTGTTTATTGAATTGACATTGCAAATTTCTTTTGGGTCCTAAAAAGAAATTATGCAAACTTCTACAATTTTTATATGGCTATGTAAAGCATGAATTCTGATAGGTCCCTGCCAATTTTCTATCAGGTCAAAGGATATCTTGATGCGGGTAATAGCACAAAATCTTCCTCCAGAGTCCACTCCAGTGGAGAAGGTGATTTTCTCATTGGGATTTTTCCCGCTATCGAAAATTTTACAAGTTTCTGCTTTTCCTATGATCTATAATAAAATAATCTTATGCTTTCCAATTAAATCATAGGTGATGACCCCAAATCCCGAATGTGCAACAGTGGATACACCCATTGTTGATGCTCTGCATATCATGCATGATGGAAAATTTCTACACCTTCCTGTTCTTGATAAAGGTATTTTAAATTCACAATCACACAAAAAAGGTTGTATAGAAGTTCTTATGATTTCCAATTATAGTTTATGACTAGTATGAATGGTTGAACACAGATGGAGTAGCGGTTGCTGTTGTTGATGTACTTCATATCACTCATGCTGCTATAGCCACAGTAAGTCCTCTATCTTTCTGGGACCATCAATTGTCTTGCATGAGTTTGAGGTATAAAACATAATTGCTATTTTTTTACAGATTTTGATAAGTATTAATAGCTAATTCTGCTAGGTAATTAATCATATATAGTATCTGAACTTCAATATTGAAGATTCCTTTTTCAAAACATCTCTTAACTGAATTTCTCTAAACTGGTTTTGGAGTTTAGATACACGGAGTTTGATTGATCTTGTGACTGCAATCCTTCAGAGGGTGGGGGATGAAATTGACCGCAACAACTTGCCTCATATTTTGGTATATAATCAATATCTCATTTCTTATTTGGATTCTCAGTTTTTACTTATGAGCTCATGGACAACCACATTTTCAGTATGAAGATGAAGATCATGACAACGTTGTACTTGCGTCAGATAGTGATCTTGCTATAGCTGTGGACCATGCAAGGTTAGCCGGTTGGAAGGTAAGAATGGTCCTTTCAGTGCTTATTTCACAAGTAAGCTGAAGGAAGCTAAGTTACCCAAAGCAAATATTTTTTCTCCTTAACCTTCCTTTAAATTTTTTTTAACAGGTATTAAAGTTGCACTTAGATCATTCAGGAACACAAGGTCATAGGAGAGGATCACAATCTGAAGGTGTAGAGTATGCCCAATCAGATGTGTGGGCTTCAGCATACAGTGCTTTAGTTGTAGGGGCTGCGCTAATTGCCGGATTAAGCATGTTATCATACTTGAGGAGGAATGGTAACTGATAATTATTTATACCCTTCTTTCAGTTTATAAAATTGATGTATTGGGAGTAGCAGTAGAAGAAGAACTGAGTTTCTGTGACTACCAAGGATAAAGCTAAAATTGATCAATGATGCTGGCTGGCAGGTCTCATGCTCAACATTTGTTTTTGTATATTAATATCTCAACAATTTTAGCGAGTCAGAACCAACAACATACATCAATTGCATTTGTATTTCTGGGGTTAGTTTTGTATCCATAAAATTATTGTTTATATTTGCCGGGAATTATTTATTCATTTATTATTTTTTTCTATTGGGTATTACATGATGGAATGGGTGAAAATTGCTTGTGAGGAGGATTTGTAGCTTCCTGAACTCTGGATTTGTGCATTATTAATGGATAATAGGCAGCATCTGAAATTTTCAAATGTTGTTTTTCTGCAGTGAAGTTGTCAAACATTCATTATTGAACCAAATATGAAATTAGGAAAATTCTATGATACACTCATTTATACACCTCAAGTTACAAATTTTGTAATATTTGATTATGATATTTGAGGAAATTGTTTATTTATTATTTTAATAAACATCAATTATTAGTTCTTTATAATTGTTTATCATATGTATTTTTTTTGTTCAACCACATAAAATTAGCACAAATTTTTTTTTTTTAAAAAAGAAGCTATGGCGGCGTTTTTTAAACGTCACTATATCTCAACCCTAACGGCTAAATTTTTAAAATGTACAAATGTCTATGACAACGTTTCAAAACGTTGCTAATTATCATAGTGTGATGTCAGAGACTATTAGGTAAGACATTTAGCGGCGTTTTAAAAATGCCTCCTATACTTATATCACAACGTTTTTAAAACGCCATAAAGCTATAGTGACGACCGCATCCTCGGTGTTTGGTGCTAAGTGCCACAAAAAGAATTGGCGGCATTTTTGGCACTTATAGCGGCATTTTTTAAACGCCGCTAAAAGTAGATTTTCCAGCAGTAGTGGGAGCTCGGTATCTTATTTTTCCGATAATTACCGGCCGATACGTAGCTTATCGGCCGGTATTACTCGCCGTGGTAACAACAAGGTGGCTCATTGGGTTGCTATATCCCTAGCTTCCAAGTCTATTCCTCCTCTTTGGAATGTATACCCTCCTATTTCTTTCAATTCCTTAGTTGCTACTGATGTAAGTTCCTTTGGGTCTTAATGCACTGCCTTGACAATTCAAAAAAAAAAAAAAAAACTTTATTTACATTGTGCATAGACCACTACAAGAAAATTTGAATATAACGCATTTTCTTTGAACGTTTTTTTGAAGCGTCATATAGATGATGTTCTTTCCCCCTCCCCCTCCCCCCCCAAAAAAAAATATATATATATATATAATACTGTGTGGTGTCTTGATAAAAATACAAGAAATTTTATGGTACACCCCTCTTTTGGGGGTGTGTACCATATGAACCTTTAGTTATAATATTTATGATATTTAATTATGACATATTGAAATGTTATTTATGATTCATTGTGATGTTGGTTATGAAATTATTTTGATTATGATCCAAAAGTTTTTTTTTATTATACCTTATGTAATATTTAGTTATAACACGTATTTTTTTTTTTTTTTTTATTTTTTTTAGTTATGACTTCCATAGAATTCAGTTATAACATTTATAATATGAACCCCAACTATGTTATAGCTTGCTTATGGTACACCTTGTACCATAGTACTACCCTGAAAACACAGGTAATGTTATGCAAGTTATGTCATTTACGAATTTAGTTATCACAAATGGCATAACTTAATAGTATGAGAGTCATAGCTAAAAAAAATTTTGAGTTATAGCCAAACATCATATGTGGTATAGATCATAATCAAAAGTATGTCATAACCAATATCACAATATGACATAACTAATAATACAGTAGATGATAATCAAAGACAAAAAAAATCATAACTAAATGTGTATATGGTACACACCCTACAATTTCTCCTAAAAACACTTCCTACAAGTGCGTCATTTAATAAGACTCTGCCTAACCAATGGGATTAGGTCGATTAGCTAAAACTCTTGCATGTTGCTAGGTGGTTAGTAATTTGAATCTCTCCACATTTGTTTATGTTTTATTACGCATATATTAATTGAGGTTTTATCTCCCACACTGAGAGTTTTCTTTGTAAAAATTTGTATTATATTTGATATTCATTTCTAAAATTATAATTCATTGAGTTTCATTGTAATATTTTGTATAAATCAATTCTGAAAAAATATATAAAATAAAAAATAAGACTATGCCTCCACTTCTCATGACCCCTCCATCTTCTCCCCCTCTCTACACTTCTCTTACTCTTTCTACCCTTTGACATTTGCTCATGTTTCTTTCCCTTGCGTATGCTCGATCATTGTAGTCAATGTTCACTTCCTCAACTTGGAAACCCTCATCTTTGACAATGTCTTCACTCCGCACTCTTCATTTTCCAAACCTTACCCTCTTTCCTAAGAGGTTTCTTATTGTGATTATTCTTGATTGAATCAGGAACTGATCTCATTCCATTGAAATTCAAATCTACAAAGTTTGTTAGGGTTGGGCTCTTAGGTCAGCGTTTCTAGAAATAGAGATTTCTTATTGCGATAATATTGATTGAATCAAAGTTCCAAATCTAGAAATGCAAATCCATCAATTTTGTTAAGATTTTGGTTAGTGATTTCAATCTACCAACTTAGGAAATCGATACTTTGTTCAAACATTTTGATTTTGACTTAGAGATTTGTAAATTTCATATTTGTGCAGCTTTTAGATATTTCTGTTTTTTTTTTTTTTTTTTATTCTTTCAAATGTGGTTAGAATTTTTTTTTTTTAAAAAAATAGTAATTATGATAATAGATAAATGAACAAAACAATCATTTATTTATGAAATGGCATAATAAAACCAATATTTTCCATATGTATTCTTGGCTCGGGCTCAAAATAAAAGCACTCATCAACGGCATTAATTATTATTGACTTTATTAATGTGTACCCTTAGAGGGTTTGATAAGAAATGTCTATACATAATACATGATAGTTCATACAATATATAATGTAGAATCAATTTAAACATGGGTTAATTACTCACATGTCATGTTATAAGAATCTGTGTATTATTAAGTTTCACGAGTGTTTGTATAGATCAAAAAATCTTAATAGTTTAATTTTTTTTTTTTTGATTAATGAAAGTCAATTGTTAGTAGTTAGATTAACATATATCAGAGTTAATCTCCACACTCTTACAAAATACTAAAGTGCTTGCTTTCAAATTCAACTCCCTCTTAGGGAGAGTTGAACTCATGACTTCCCATTAGGACTAAGTCCTTAGGAGAGTTATGGTATCCAATTAGACTAGGCGTAGTTGGTTCCAAATAGTTGGACTTAAAGTCCTTTTGTGACTATTTTATGAACATGTCACTCACAACTGATAGTTAGTAACGATTTTTCAAATCTATCGCTAAAAATAACAACTAGTGTAACGCCATGACTTTTATTACTCAAGTTCATTACCAAATACTTTATAATAATACCATTTTCAATCATTCCATCCATTTGGGAACATAAACCAGGAATAAATAATAACATTCCCTCACGACAATGATGATGATATATAAATAAGACATAGTGTGATGCCCTTGGGCTTACATTGAATAACATTAAACAAAAAACAGAAGGGATTTACCCTTACACAATATATAGCACTTGACCAATAAGTAAAGGGCCCCGTGGCAAATAAATAAAAGACTTCAAGTTATGAACAATCCTCCAGCATTGTACCTAAAAAGTTTGTCAACATGTGGGATGAGCACTAGGTCCAGTAGAGATCCCAAAGATTCTAACCAATCACAACATATAGATAAAAATGATTATGCATGAACAACGATATACCATATAAGTAGTATGATAGTTGATATCCAAAGGTATATTCCCATAAATATGTTTCTCTCAAAAATATCTTCTTGATACAACACAGCATAAAATCAATCATTCTCTTCCAAATTTTTGTTTTACTTCCAAAAACATTTAAAACCTATTTTGTTGTTTTAATAAACCTTCCATGTTAATATAAAAGAATCTCACTTAAACATTCGTTCAAAAAACATAACCCCACATGAAAGTCATAACCCAACCCTACATCTCAATACACCATACACACTTATGTACCAATACATCTACTACCTTTCCTAACCATAGGCCCAAGGACTAAAAGATAACCACAACATGAAAAACGATAACACATATACATTAAAAAAGAAATAACTGAAGTAATACATACTACTAATTTCATCTCCACCAGCCTATAGCACAGATGGCAGATCCTACAACACAAATAATCTATAGCACTTTATCGGCCTCACTCGGATGGGGGTGCCCCTCAGGTCATACTTTTCTGGGTGCAAATCGGAAGGGAGAGGAAAATTTTGTCAATGCGCCATGCTTTACCGGCCTCACGCAGAGAGAAATAGACCTCATTTCACACTTCATCGGGCGCAAACCGATAGGGAAAGGAAACCTCTGTCAATGCGCCACGCTTTACTGGCCTCACTCGAAAAGAAGCAGATGTCCCAAACAACATACAATTGAAAGCATAACACGCTAATCACCAAAATAAATACGCGGTGTAACACATACACCTAGTCCAATCGTCATAATCTCGACTAGTGATAGTGAAATACATTAACCCACTTTTTCCAAAACGTGATCCATGCACCACCATCCAACATTGGGTTTTTTTGCATTTTCAAAATGTTCTCAAAACAAAATGTGGATTACCAAACATCAAAACCATAACTATCCAACGACCGTCTCATGACATAAACACATCCACAAGCATTCCAGTTCCTTTTCTAACAACATAATCTACAACTCAACAATGGAATTATATATTCACAATGTCCAATTACAATCAACAATACATCCTTCTACCTTACATAGCCGATCCTACAATAGTGCTCACGTCATGTATCAACCAACAATCAATACCATCCTCCACC